TCTCTCTCTCTCTCTCTCTCTCTCTCTCTTTTTTTTAACTCATAAGCTCCAGAGAGATGTGACTTGGTTAAGGTCACATACTTGGATTTTCTGTCAATTTTTCTGAATCTAAGATGAGTTCTTTTCCCATGACATCAATGAATAAGGAGGTACAAAAATAGCCAAATTCAGTGGGGTGGGTCTGTGTCTCCCTCAACAGAACCTGGGATAGTTAAGCCACATAGTTAAGACCCCCCCACACACTCCTTCGGGTGGATATCTGCCTGGGAGATTGGAGGAGGAGTGGGCGGCACCTTTCTCTGCCCTCCTCATCAGCAGATGGTCAAAATACAGGAGGAAAGGAGAGCTGGGGCCAGAGCCAAGCAGGCAAAGGGACCCTCTGCCTCCCCCTAGGATTCCCACATTTATATTTGGAATCTGAAACTCTCTCCTACCCATAGGCCCTTCCTAGCAGCCCACCAGGGAGGAGAAGGGGGAAAAGTGTCATAAATTTCCCCTATTTACACAAGAAGACAGCATGTTTCTTGTGCCAGAAAAAACACAGAAAGGGAGCTGTCAGGGGAGAAGGGACCCAGCCCCATACCTTCTGGGGTCAATTTATCTTTCTGAGTCGTGGCTTGGGGGCTTCCATAATACTGCCTGAAGGAGATCCAAGCTCTGAGTTGGGGGTCAGCCAGGACAAATGGTGCCTGGGCTTTGTTTCGGATCATGGCCTTTCACTTCATTTCAACTGCTCCCTCGTCACTTCTCTTTTAAAAAACAATTTTCTGGAGGTATAGTTCACATCAACATGCCTCCACTGGAAATGGGCAATTTGGTGATGTTACTGAATATCTGTGGCATGTTCACAGATATGTTCTACCATCACCATCATCAATTTTAGAACATTTCATCACCTCAGAAAGAAACCTCAGGGTTGAGGGTATAGCTCAGTGACAGAGCACTTGCCTACATGCATGAGGCCCTGGGTTGGATCCTCAGCACAGAAAGAAAGGAAGGAAGAATGGAAGGAGGGAGGGAGGAAATAAGAAACTTTATATCCTTTAGCTATCATCTTAGGTTCCTTTCAGACCTAATCTCCTTTCTGTCTTGGCAGATTTTCCTATTCTGAACTTTGATAGAAATGGCATTATATATATATATATATATATATAAAATTTGTAAATGGGCCTTTATTTTATTTACATGTGGTGCTGAGACTCGAACCCAGGGCCTCACACATGCTAGACAAGTGCTCTACCACTGAGCCACAACCCCAGCCCCTAGAAATGGCATTATTTAATAAGTGGCCTTCTGTGACTGGATTCTTCTACTTAGTACCATAAACTCAAGCCTCATCTATATTGAAGCAGGTATCAGTACTTCTTTTCATGGCTGAATAGTATCTTCTTCTGGTTATGTTTATTCATTCATCAGTTGATGGACATCGTGACATTTCCACCTTTTGGATATTGATTCCTCCGTTCTTCTTGCTCAAATGAAATGAGGACTGTGCTCAAGAACAGCTGTCTTACCTTCAGGAGTACCCAGTACCCATGAGAGCAGGGCCTGGGCACATCTTCTAACTCCCCTGATCTGTTATGCAACTGAGGCGAGCTTCTCCCTCTTCCTCTATCAAGTCTCTTTTTATCATCATTTGTTTTTTGCCACTTGCTGTACTCCTCAGAAGGGGGTTTACACCCTTCTCCAGGGGCTCCAGAGACACAGAGTGAATGAATGGGGAGCAAATAGTTCCCTGAGCCTGGTCTCAAGGGACCCCCCTCCAGTGCCTCACAGATGAAGGAAGGTTTAGGAGGCTCCAGGGTCAAGGGAAGGCTGTGTTTTTGCAGGTGTGACTGACCCAGAACCCAGGCCACCTGCCCCCATCTCCCTGCCTGGCCCCTTTCAGTCACCAGACCCACCTTGAGCTCAATCCTCTCTCCCTTAGCAACAGACACCTGTCCCTGTCCTCACAAACCTTGCAGTGCTAGTGGTGAGAGCAAGGTAAATACAGTGAACAAAATAGTCACATAAATTCTGTAAACATTTGTTGAATGGATGAATACTTAAGTGCTTTGGAAATAAAATGTGAAAAATCTGAATTTATATCACTTTCTGCTAACACCATTATTGAGTCTAGAAGTTAGCATTACTTCTCCATCTCTGGAGGGCGTGGTGTGCAGATAATGCAAAACGTTGGCCATAATAGCAACCATTTATGGGACCAGCCATATACTAAGGGATTTATGTATCTTATCACTCTTCACCTTTTGAATGAGGCACAACTATCACCTGACCCTGCCCCCCTCCTTTTTTTCTTTTTTGGCTTGATGAAGATCAAACCCAGGGCATGCTAGTCAAGCACTGTACCACTGAGCTGCATCCCCACCTCTACTTATTCCCATTCTGAAGATGAGAAAAACTGAGGAGACTGAGAATTTAAGTAACCAGTCACCAACCCCATCTTGCCTCTGCCAACCCTTCCCCTCGTGTCCAAGGCAGGGTGGACTGGGCAGATGCTGGGCTCCTCTCTCCCAGCTTGCCATCCAGTCTCTGTTCCTGCCTTGTGGGTTGGGAGGTGGGGATCAGTTTTGCTGTCAGAGACTTTCCTTCTAGACCTTGCTGAGCTGCCCAGTATGTGTGGGAGGGACCAGGAGAGGACTGGATCTTGTCAACAAAGGACTTGAAGGGGCCAGAGAGTTGAGGATGCTGACAAGCAGGAGACCTCCAAGGCAGATAATCAGAAGCTGACGACTGGTGGCCCCTCAGCGTCCCTCCACCCCTGCTCACTCAGGCCTCCTACATGATTCAATGACAAAGAACAAACTTTAACCTGTAATTTTCACATGTGTTACTTCACTGCTCACAGTGAACCTAAGACGTATCTGAGGCTCAGTTTATTTTTTACAGAAAGAAAAAGTTTGTGGGGCTACGACCCAAGTATCCTGCTTAATCTTACTTAATGAAATTAATGTAGGACTCACTGTGGACCATGCATCCTAAATATTCCCTCTTAACTCATCTACTCTTTTCTGACACCCCATGAGGGCAGGTATTAGTATTATCCACACTTTTTAAAGATGAGACTGAGGTGACTTGCCCGAGGTCCTAGAGCCAGCAGGCAGTGTCCCAGAGTGTGTGCGTGGCCACTTACTCCCCCAGGTGGGCCTCCTATGGTGACTACACTTGACTCGTGGCCCTACCTCCCACTTCCTCCTGCCTCCCTCATACTTTATGGCCCATTGGAAAAAGCAAGCGAGCTGTGGCTCCCAGGGTGACGATCCTTCAGCTGCCTCCTTGGCACTGTCATCCTCTCCTCCCATCTCTTGCCAAGGGCTCCAGCCGGGAATGCCACAGACGTTCGCCATGGATCAAGATTTTCCCAGAGAAAGAGTTTACAAGAAGGCTGCTGTGAGAGATGCAGTAACTCCAGTTCCACTCACTCCCCATCACGAGGAGCCAAATGAAGTCACTGTGCCATCAAAGAGCAGCCTCCCGCCACTTTGGAGATAAACACTGGCCCCTGTGGCCAATGACTGACTGGCTGCAAGGAAAGTCCAAGGTGGCTGGTGATTGAAATAAAACTTCTATGAGAGTGTTGCGCGCCATTCATTCCACAGTGTTCCTTGACACGGGCCCGGGCCGCGCACATGAGCTGCAAATGGGTTTCATTCATTTCCTCCAAATATATTTACTTACATATGCAATAAATTCCGATTATGTCCCCTAAGAGGCACCAGGCTTGGTGTTGAGGATGAACAAGAAAAATCTCTGCCCCACAGGGGCTCATGGTATAGAGAGGGGAGGCAGAAGGAAGCCTCACAACGATTTGCCTCCTACACTGAGGAAGGAGAGTCATTGCTGTTTGACCCCGTGCTGTCTGTCCTCTTTCTGTCCTTGCTGGGAGTGAGTTACTCATGCCCAGATACACTTCAGACATAACTGAGGGCTGGGCATGGTGGCGCAGGCCTGTAATCCCAGTGGCTCAGGAGGCTGAGGCAGAAGGATCGTGAGTTCAAAGCCAGCCTCAGCAACTTAGTGAGACCCTAAGCAACTCAGCAAAGCTCTCTCTCTAAATAAAATACAAAATGGGTTGGGGATGTGGCTCAGGGATTAGGCACCTGTGGGTTCCATTTCTGGTACCCAAACC